TTCTTGAGAGCAGACAGCAACGTAACAGATGAAAATATCTAATTTAAAAAAAAATGACATGCCTGACTCTTGCCTGTATCCTGTGTATGATATATATCTTATATATAATTACACAAAGGATGCATAACATCGCTGCACTTGAAGCAAGTTCTAGCCAAAGGAATAAACAAAACTTTCCAAGGCATAAAGCCAGTCGGGGCATTTTGGTTTTGAATTATGGTTGGGGCCAGATTCTTTGCTGAGTTTTGCAGTTGCAGCGAGCCAGGAAGAGCACGTTTGATGAAGAGCAGCATGATTAAAGCCAGCGTGGCTTCCTTTCCTGCGTTACTGGGCTGCGATGGTTCCAGGGGACAGGAATGTCCCTGGGTGGAGCGTTGCCATCCTGCCGCTTGCGCCGTTCCGCTGGGCGAGACCTCCAGTCTTCTCTGTCTCCTAGAATTTGGCCCCCCTGCAGTGTGGGTGGACACTCAGATCTTGGAAAAATAGGAGGAAATAAATTGCTTGCTTGTTTGTTTGGTTTTTTTATAAATTTCTTAAATATGCACTTGCAGTAATTAATTTAAAGTTAAATTATTTGGTTTTAAATCGAGATCTCTTAGTCGAATTGAGTTGCTTTGATTTGCAAGTGGCTTTGCCAAATGACACTAGACCCAAGTCAGATTAGGAATATGTAACCCAAATATGAGGTGTGCCACCAGCCTTCTCATTCTCTTACTATGGATCATTATTTTCCACTGTGATTGGACAGAGCAAGTTGATATATAAAGATTTGGTGTAATCTAAGCAGTGCTCTTGATAGAGCCTGATGTACAACTCTTAACTACTTATGGATCTGTTTTAAGGAGATTCCTTTAGTTCACATCAGACCAGGTTGCTCCAAGCCCCATCCAGCCTGGCCTCGAACCCCTCCAGGGATGGGGCAGCCACAGCTTCTCTGGGCAACCTGGGCAGGGCCTCACCACCCTCACAGCAGAGAATTTCATCATAATATCTAATCTAAATCTCTACTCTTTCAGTTTGAAGCCATTACCCCCTAGACTATCACTCCAACTTCCTGATCAAGAGTCCCTCTCCATCTCTCCTGGAGCCCCTTAAGGGACTGGAAGGGGCTCCAAGGTCTCCCCAGAGCCTTCTCTTCTCCAGGCTGAACCCCCCAACTCTCTCAGCCTGTCCTCACAGCAGAGGAGCTCCAGCCCTCTGATATCTCCATGGCCCTCCAGAAAGAGCTGAAATCTTGAGTTTAACTGTCTGCTGATGAGGAGAAGGTGTTGGAGAGGTTGTGCCCAGAGGGATGGTTTGTTCGTTCCCCACTGCTGATGACTGAATCCCAGTTAGCATTTTCTAGAACAAATACACCCCTGCAGCTCTGTGTACTGCCCATAACCAGTGCTTACTTCTCACCTTACCAGCAGAAATAACATCTCCTGTCTGTCCAGCTGGCAATCTGCTCCTTGCACAATTTGTATCTGCTGCAGACAAGGTTGTAGGGCATCCTCTTGCAGTCACCAATGGAAACACTGATCTGCCTTAAAAAAGGATTGAGATTTCCCAAGTTCGTTTTACATCAGCTGTTGAATAATAAGGGTAGGAAAATGTTTGGATGTTCTTTGTGGTTTAAATCTTACTCTTTGGTTTAAGCCTGAAGGGCTTCACATGCCATTTTCAGATGTTCAGCAAGCTGTTCCCTCAACGACATGTGTGTAACTGTCCCAATAATAGGCTTGTGGATACAAGTTTGACCTTAACAGCAGGTGCTTAAAGCATTCCTGTCCAAGGAAAAAAAATTCCTTATCTTTGTTAGGATTACTCTGAGATGTATAAATATTTGTTTTTGAAAAAAACTCTGAAAAAGAATTTATTGGCTTCTGGAAGGTACATCTGCTCAAGTGAACATACTTTTCAAAATGCAGCACTACAGTTCTGTCTTTTTTTTTTTTTTCTCTGTGGGGTAAACCTACCGATTAAAATTGAGACAACTGAAAATTATAGATGAATAAGCATTTGGTGGTGCTGCACGGGCACATACATGTATATGAACAACTTCCCAAACAAGTGCTATGGTTTTTTGTGTTTTCCACGTTGTACTATTTAAGAAGACATAGAGTGAAAAATACTCCAGAGCCTTCTCTGCTTGGTAAAAGCTGAGTAACAATTCTGGCATAGTCCTTCTACCATTTATGCTTTGCCTTTTCTAGGATTATATATATTTTCCCTACTGAGTGTTTGTTCTGGAATAAAATACATGCAGATAGAATTGGTTGGGAATAACTGGACCAGTCAGTGTAACTAGGGAGGCAAATACCCAAACCTCCCTGTGGTCAAGGTAGAATGTGCAATTTTTAAAATGCAGGGTCACCTTTCTCTCGTTTATGACTATCATTTAAAAAGATTTTAGCTTGTATAATTGTAGTATTACTTTGCACATGCAGCTTGGAGAGGCAAAAAGAAAATGTTTGATGGTATTTGTCAGCAACACGAAATAATCTGCCGTTGATCAGCTTTGTCCTTCTCTCGCAGCCCCAAGGACAGGGCATCTGTGGGCCACGTTTTAGGACTCGGCAGGCTCCGTTTGGTCTTTGGGCAGCATGTAGAGCAATCCTCACTTAAAACCTCCGAGGCAATTACCTACAACATGCTCGAAGATGAGACCTTCCAATCTTGTGAGATTATTTGGTGGCTGCTGGTTGTTCTCTTCAAACACAATCGCGTCATTACATTCTTTTAAAAAAAAAACCAAAAAACAACATAACTGCATTTATCCTTTTTGATCGTTGACCCATGAGAATCCCGCTTCATGCTCTTCATCCTGCTTCACAATAAAAGGGACCAGCTCTGGAAACCAGCACTTCTTATCTTGTGTCAATAACTGGGAATGTGGAGGTGTGTTAAAGCCCAACAGCAATAAGTGGCCACAGATAGGGACATGTGTTGACCATTTAGGAGAGAAAAGCTATCGATTTTCCTGCTTTGTGTGCCTGATGTCTTTGTGGAGAGGAGCAGGTGGCCATAAACAGGGATATATATGTGTGTGTGTGCCTGTAGCTATAGTTAGTTTTTTGGAGAGAATGTTCCTGTTGAGGTTATTGGAAAACCAACTGTGTATAAAGCTTCTCTGCTTTAATCTTTAATGCACCGCACTCGGCTTTACGTGATTTATGCTCTCTATGCATCCACTGTGTACATCTAAAAAATACCTTTCCCGAGCAGAAATACAAAAGCTTGTCGTGTTTGTAAATGGTGGAGGGGGACACCAGCATGGGGAGGGGGGTGTGTGTGTGTATTTATTTGCTTGCTTTTGAAAGCATCAGTAGCTCCATAGGCATTGTCAGTTTAGGATCCTACAGGATTAGTTTTATGGGATGCTTCTTTTTATTTGCATGGGGGTTGGTTTACGTGATATTAACACCAAAAAAGCCTTTTGAAAAACGGGCAGTTAGTCAGTATGGGAAGTTATTGTTAACCAGAACCTTTCCTTGTCAGCTTCTGCTGTTACAAAAATCTGTTTTCATAGATGGATTTGAAAGAGTGCCTTCTCCCCAAGAGTGCACATCAGCTGCAGTTTAGAGCAATCAGATTGATTCTGCTGCAGTTCCTTTTTTTCCCCCCATGTCTTCAGCCACATGTTCCCATTCCCTGCCCCCC